TTGAAAAGGATCTAGTTTTTGCGAACTCGATTTTTCTCGACTTGTTCAGGTTCCGGAAATATTTGTTGGGCACAGTTTTTGGGATGGATTTCAAATTGAGAAATTCAGGTCCTCGCAAAAATTAGGTGGTGTTCAATAATTTGACTGAGTCCCGTATGTAGGCGCGTATTGGATACATCGATCCAGTAATACCTTTTCTATTTCATCGCTTGGCTAATGCTAGATAAACGAAGCGACAGCAGTCCTCACGTAAGCACCGTGAGTGTGTTCAAAAATTTCGTTGAGGATGGAGTTCGCTCCTAATCCTGTTTACAGTGTTTGTCCACTAAACGAGCAGGCACAGTGCTATCTTCGGAATACTTGCTAACTTATGTAAAATGCCCTTTTTTATTTTTATTTTCAGGACAGCAGTTTCGAGCAAGACTGGCAGGACAGGTTAAAAAAACTGAGGCCAGATGCTGTTCCGACACTTTTTCCTTAACGTGGTAAGTTTCAATATTGTGTATGCATGTTCAGAAGTCTTTTTGAGTACACTCCTGAACTTTCAAGAGTTTATTTTTTGTAATATTTTAAAACTCCATCCTTTCCCAGCATTTTCTTGTTATACAATGCATGACTAATGTAACATTCTTTCTGAACTACCGTCTTATATTCTCATCTTTTGTAGACTTCGTAAATATAAATATGGACAGACTAGGTTCTCACAGTGCCAGGATGGTTAGATGTTAAACAGTTAAAACAACTAGACAAGAGATGCGCAAACAATTTGGGTCCGTAACTTCTAAAGTGTCTGAATGCCGCCCCGTTAAACCCTCACAACCTATTTCTCTGCTAACATAGCGCACATGCATTTCTTCAGCGGTTTTTTGAGGCCCAGGAGTTTGGCGAGTCGCTACGCTCACTTTGCGTAGCTCTGGTCTAGACAACTTAAGTCCAAAGCTTGGTATACTGCCCTATTACAAGCAATGGTGTTTAGTTAATCATCCTTTTTTTTTCTCTTGTAACCATAAATATTGTTATAGTGTGGGAAGCCATTTTGATGCGATATTTTAGAAACAAATTAAGGGCTCTATTATTTATTTTATAGTATTCTATCTGGTACCTAAGGATTGATAAAGAAAGCCTGTATATTTTTAATGTCGTGTTTTTTCAGTGTTTTGAAAATGCATATGCATGAATACTGATGTTGACAAGTTTAATGAACTTTTACAGCCATCCCAAAACACAGAAAGGCCTCCAAAAAGCGTGCTCATGGATCAACAGCCATTCCATCACCACCAACGTTACATGGCAGTGCAAGCGACATAAATCGTGCAGCTTCGCCTTTCCGTGCCTGTACAATGATGACTGCCCCACTGCCAGAAGCTCTCGACGTCAGTGCCGGAGACACTGGGTGCTGCCAGAAGTGGCAACCCCCCCCCCCCCCCCGCCCCCCCCCCCCCCCCCCCCCCCACCGCAATGATCGTAACTGAAAAGCCCCGTTACCGTTCTTGTCCTAGCTAATTAGATCTGCACCTGGCCAGGCCTCGAATTTCGAGGACTTGAAGAATGGATTTGCAACTTTCCTCAAATATGTCTTTTATTAGTCAAATCTTTCCATTAAAAGTTTCAGTCTATTACAAAAACAAACTAAGAAAAAAAACTTTTTTTTTTTTGTACTCAAATTAGCAACTTGAAAATTTAATGTGAAAATGTGGCTATAAAATACATATTTGAGCAAAACTGCATGCTGCTTTTTTACGGACCATTTTAGTTGGTAACGAATTTTTTGGGTGACCACTAGGAAACATGTATTTATTTATTGTATGAATAAGCCCAAAAAACGCTTTTTTCAGTTTAAACAATGCCATACATCATCACAGAAAACATTTTCTGCTACTAAATGACGCAAAATTCACAGTACCAACGATATCTGTCAGTTCCTACCCTTGCACCGTTTTCCGGGCAAAAGTTGGGCACCAAGATGGCGGCTCGTCAGGTTTGGAGGCCGTCTGAGCTGGCGTTCGGCAGCAATGGTCGGAGATGTCACCACCCTAAAGACGGAGTCGGCGAGTACGTAGGCTCCCTACGCTGGTGACTGCTGCACCGCTGGGCGAGGCGGCGGCGGGACTGCGAAGCTCGGCTAGGAGCGGGCTAAAATGGCGTGTCCTGTCAATAGTTTGTTTTAGGATTGCATATACGAGCGAACGCAAGCCCTGTGCGTTTAAGTACGCGTTGCGTGTTCTACACTGCGCGTGCGCGGAGCCCAAACTGCAACCTTGGGCTAACGCGTGGCGACTTCGCGCATGCGCAGCGTGGAGAACGCACCGCTAACGCAAACACACAGCGCTTGCGTTTGCTCCCATACGCAATACTAAAACTCACTATTATCATATCGCCCTAGCTGCGGGTACCGGCTAACGATTTTAGACCCCAAAGTGTAACATTACGACCAACGTTACTAGGACCCTCAGTTGGGAAACTCATCGTTCAAATCTGGGCCGTTGGCGTCCACAGACGCCGAGCTAAATACGACAAAAAACAACGCCACTTTTTATCATTTGTCTTTACTGTGGTCACCTTGAGATTTTAGAAAGCATGTTTTAGCGTAAAAACCAACGGAAAAAACTCTTTGTACTAACTTTTATTGTAGTTTAGTACAAAATGAAGAGCTCTTGGTGTTTTCTAAAATCTTTAGTTTGCAAGGTTTTGCAGCACAATTAATAACGTGTTTATACAACCATTCCTCAGTGGTGATTTCAGGTAGTGCGTCCCGACCTATAGGCGCACCTTAACTTTGGCAGTTATCCGCGGATTGTCCGCTTGGGAGACGGGGTTGGCACCCCTGATACCCCTACCACCGTATCTCTTTCGGCGCCAAAATGGCCGATTAAAGCCAAAATAGAAGTCACGTGCAGTTCATCGAGTGGCCGCTGCGGGAGAAATGGCGGCGTTGTGGTCGCCATTAGCTCGGTTCCCGAGTACGGATCGGTGCCACTTTTTCAGAGCAGTCTCTCAGTTTCCCTACTGAGTGCTTTTAGTAACGTTGGCTAGGACTAACGTTAGACCTAACATCAAGTCTGCGCCTACCCGCCCCCCCCCCCCCCCCCCCAAACACTTTTTATGTCAAACAGCTGCGCGTACCGGTTGGCGACGTTAGACTTGAAAGCTTAACGATAGGCCTAACGTGTTAGGCATAACGCCAGGCCACCACGTACACGCGTCCCCTCTCAGGCTGCGGCGCCCGCTGTTCAGCTGGCTCCATAGAAACGATGACGCCGTTGCTATGGAGCCACATGAGGCGTAGCAGCCAATGGGAATTTAGGTGCCGTTTCGCTCAGACAATGGAACTTTAGGTGCTCTTTTTCGCTGCTACAGACAACACCGGCTTCGTTTCATGTGACAGTTAATGTCTTGGCATTAATATCCGAGCTTGGCAGGGGGAATGGCCGGGTCTCCATCTCCTACTTGCTTTTTGTTTGCTTTCAATATGACGACGCTCGAAGACCGTGAAGGCTATCCTATGAGCGATTGGAAAATCAGCTGTGACTAGCGCGGTCGGGTTTCTTCTACGGTGCTAACTCGGTTCACTATAAGATGGACCACAGCGAACGCCACGAGCCATCTTAGCAAATCTAGTACTTTGTACGTATCACGTGGCAACTTTCCCATCGCATCGCAGGTCACCTCGTATAGTCCCGTTACCATAGGAGTTAGCGAAGGCTAAATTGTATGGCCTCTTTAGCGATGAACCGTGTAACGTTCTTCGCGGCTCATTGTATTGTGATACGGTATAAATGATGTTCACGCTGTGATTAAGACATCCATCTCCCGAGGGAATTTGGTCTGCTGCTACAGAAGATCGAAAATTGAAGAAATTTGAGCAACGAGAACCTTCCAAGTCGATTGCACTTAAGCCAACTATAGGATTATGTCGCAACAATACGTGCTACAAACCGCAGCGCAGGTCTACACGTAGGAAAGTTCGTCTTGCGTTACAGAACGCAGGGGAATTTCAGGGATTCTATCCAAACCCGTACCCGTTTCCATGTGGATCAGAACCTTAAAGCTGAGAGGCCACGTAAACCATCCTGCACGATGCCGGCTAAGGACCGTAGTTTAACAATCACATGACACTGAGCAACTGCCTTTACATTGGAAAGCCAAAGCCAAGCCCACCTGCCAGTCTTCTGCTTTGAATTAAAAAATATGTGGGATAAACTACCGACATTTTATATCGAGAATGATTTTAGGAATATTCCATTACATATATGTTAATATTGCTGTAGAAGCAAAAATTAACCAACTCAAAAATTGGCAATTTATTTGCTCTGCTAAATAAAATAATGCCTTCCAATGTAGCATACATATAACAAGATTAAAATATAGGTAAATATTTTTTTTTATTTATAAACTACATATAGTCAGGAGCGCACACAAACTGTGGTAAGCATAAGATGCCTTAGGGCATTTAACTTAACCACTATCTGCCAAAGAGTAGGGCTTTGGAGGAGTATAAATATTTACGCCTACACAACGCGTACATTTATAATCCATATTCTTGCTCTAATATATCTATATAAGGTGTTTATATATAGCCGTGTGCTATGCTTGCTTTATAAGGTGCCTAATTTATGTCATTGGTTATTGTTCTTTTTTGTATATCCGGGCGTTTTTATTCGTACAATGTTTTCTCCAATTTGCTTCTTCTGCGGTACTGAACAGGGAAACACATCGGTCCTCGCCAGCCGACATCAGATGCCTTCAGTCCCTATTCTCTTAGACACTTCTATAAGTAAAACATACTTTATTTCACTTGATATAACATTTAGATACTATGCGGTGTACGTTAAAAGTATAGGGTCGGACGTCGTAGTAGAATGGCCAAATTTCTCATTTAGATTGGGCACGCCGGACAGGTTGAAGGAATACCACCATCCGGCTAAATGAATGTCAATGTACAAAGTGCCGTCTGAGTCGTGCAGGATTTCGAATATACAGAAGCAATTATTTATGCTCACCCTTGTCGCAGAACCAAGGTAAGGTATGAAGATACTGCAGAGGGTCATTATGATGCCGACGAGAAAGGCTATTTGAAGATCGGGTAGAAGTGAAATAGAAATGCAGTTAATAAAACAGGTCCTATAAATATACAGTTTTCTTACAATAAATTAGAAGTATATGCTAACACCGAGTTTAATAAAGCTGGTATTCACGAAAATAGTGTAAAGTTAGAGAAGAGCGTTACAAGAAAAAAAAAATATAAGATTTCGTGAAACATAAGTTCGCTAACGTTAAGTAAGTTCATGAGGTTGTAATAGTTTCTATAATTAATTGTATTATTAATGAGGAATAATAAGGAGACAAAATTTAGGTGTCCGCCCGTTGTATAGCTCGTTGCTTCCGGCTATAATCCTAGGATTAAGATACATTGCATCATTTCGGCACTGTTTTTATGGCGCTGGTAGTTGTGCACTTGTTAAATTCACATGAACGAGAAACGTTTTTGCAAAGCAGATGCCAACAAAACACTACATTTATATAAAGTTCAGAAACAACCGTCACATTCCTTAGTTTTATTTTTGATTACTTTAGTATATACGGTGTTTCACGAAAATAGATCAAACCGTTCCTGCACAAATTACGCATCGCACAGGAAAAGATTGCCGTAGTACTGATGTCGGCCACAAAACCTCTTTATTAAATTTATAACGTTCAGTATATTTTGGGTCATAATTACTTTGGAGTAATATACATTCTACGTTGTATATAAAATGTATACCGTTGATTAAATCTTCTGGGTATTATCGAAGACCAGTAAATCCACCCGCTTCATCAAAATATAGGACATTTTGGGCCTTTGTGGAACTTTTATCGAGTGATTTAACCTCTTAAGTGCCTTGGACGAGCTGAGCTCTCCGGCCACTTTCTGGCTAAAAATGCCGTGGACGAGCTCAGCTTTTCCATTGCTTTTTTCGGCAGCCCTGAATTCCACGGACGAGCTGACCTCGTCCGAGCAGTTTTACGGAGCTGATCATAGATGGCAGCACTCGTTTTAGTTGGCAAATATTTTTTTTCGCCTCCGCTGATTTTTGCGTAATAAACTTTTCAAATTTTATGTTTAATATTAGAATAATAACAATTTAAAAAAAATATGGCACTTGTAGGTTACTTTTGGAAAACGAATTTGGCACTTAAGGGGTTAAATTTATTTTCACACACACAAAAAAAAAAAAAAGAAAAAGAAAAGAGATCAAGCGAGATAGAGAAAAATGCTGTTGCCGCTTTTCGAGGCCCCTGCCTAGCTCCCGTTGCAGTTTGGCGCTGGAACGGGACATCAGCAAAATTAAAGTGGAACTTTCAATCGCATAATGAAAATTATTGTGCAACATTAGATCTATTTAAACAATACTAAACAATACTAATCAGGACGCTAATAATTCTGATTCAAATTGAAATATGCACGTTTTCTGGTTAAACACGGTATTACTCTTCACCCGAAACTCTAGTATTTTGCTTGGAAATGGAAAAGGAACATAGAACGCTTTTTTGGTCTTCCATTTGATGTACGACAAAACACGTTTGTAATCAAATTGTTGCCTGACGTAGTTGGCTCGGATTTTAGGTTTTTTCCTAATCATTTTCCTCAAAATTCGCTATGAGCTGATCCTCTTTCGGTTTAGGTGGAGCTCCTTCGTATGTATCAAAGTAATTTAAAGTAATGTATAATTTTAGCCGTTGATCTAGTATATCCTTTTAGAGTAAGTCTATGAAGGGGACTATTATTTTGTTGTGGTCATCTTTGTTGTTGTACTTCACACTAACACCCCATATGACATTTTAGAAAAGCAAAACATTATAGAATACTCTAATCATGATGGAAGTAGTTTATGAAATCTATATATACATCCTAGCTACTGCACCTCATAATACAAAGCAGAGTTTGTATATATGCGTCGACTAGTAAAACTTTTAATTCAACCATATGCCTAATTATTTTTGCACCTTTACCTGTTTTATAATTACTCCACCAACATTAATATATTTGAACTATGATATATTGATTGTCAATGCCAGAAAAAAACCTTCTATTGGGATGTTTTAGCATTAGGTGTAGTTTGTTGCATTTTCATCAGGTAGATAGTCTATCCAGGTAAGTATTGGCCATTGTTAGTACTGTATATGTATTTAGATCGTGCATTAAAGAATGCGTATAATACTATCTGCGTTTAAGATTAATTCTGGAAGTCTCGCATTGTTGTCACATTAACATAAGCTACAAATAACAAATGACCTTGAAGTGACCCTTGGAGTACTCGGTGTCGTATTTGTACGATATCTGAGGATACAGTTTTTTCATTTGGCATAACTTTAAAGTGTTTCATTATCTTTACTGCCAAGTGGTATGCCTCCTCATATTAAAGTTTAATCAGTAGCATATGATGCTGTGTTGTATCAAAGGCCTTTGTGAAGACGAAATTTAAACCGAGTGTATAAAAGTTGTCTTCATAGATCTGTCTTTATTTGTACTCATTGATTTTGCTAATTTGTTGTATAATGTTCGCAAAATAAAAACAACTCCTCCAGTCTAGTGCTGATTAAAGTTTAAAATAGTTTTGAAAAAATTAGAAGTATCGAGACTGATCAGTAATTGTTGAGGCTATTTTTCTGACCACCTTTATATATTGGGCTAGCGCTTGCAAGTTTTAATATGCTAGGAAATATTTATTTCAATAGAATGGTGTTAACTACTTGTGAGAGAATATGACAGAGTGCCTTTGAAGCGTGTTCCACAGGGACTGACTTAATCCCGTTAATACTTGGTCAAACGCTTATTTTTGAAAGCTTTAGCAAATTCGTAAATTCTGATCAGCATAGTAAGCTTAAATATCATAGAATAATTTAAAGGCTTTCTACCCCCAAGACAAAGCTTCCCGAACTGATTTTTGGGAATCTTTTGGGTTCATCATGTTTGCGATTTTTTTTATTAACTTTTACGTTTTGAAAGTAATCTAATCTATACAAACGAAATACAATTTTATTTCTAATATCACTGAGCGCGTTCCAAATTTCCCTCGGCTGATTTTATGGCGGATTTTATAACTTACATGAAAAAAGAGAAGTCAATTTGACGCGCTTTTAAGGTTTAGTTTAGTACCAGAATTCATCTGTGCACCAGAAGTCCCGCTACCATTGGTCAAAGAGTGCATAATACGCGGTGGCTCCCTCCTCGCAAGGGTAGACTCTTTTTTGCAATGGGGGCTACACCGCCATTAGTGGTGACACTGACTTTTGCCAATGCCATATAGATGCTAGGTTTTTCAATACATATTGGTTGAGAGTGTGCCCTGTATTACCAACCTTCTTTTCTTCTTTTGTATTTTTGACGCTCTTTTAGATTATCATCAACCAACTGACCCGAATCGCAGTTGTAATGAGATGTTAACATGCAAACAATTATTTCAGTGGTAATACACTAGACATCTTGCTGTGCTCAAGATTGTAGATTTTTATTTTAGGAGTATGAAAGAGTATACTTTGTTTTGTTTACACTGACCAGACGTGTCGAAAAGCGCTCTGAAAATTCGCGAAAATTATCACAAAAAATCCATACGAGTAGCATTAATATGTATATTACATTACTGAAAACGTTCTCAAGTGATATAAATAACGTGCGCCAATAGAGTGCTTATATATTGTTTGAATACATTGTTTTCTAATAAGGTATACGTCTTGAAACACGATAACACTGATATATATTTTGCTCTTAAGTCGCATTGGTCTTTTCATGTAGCTTACATATCTTAAGTTATTTCGGTCATCGTTATGCCAAAGCCTTTACCTGCATAGCGGATATGCAGTTGAAATGAATAGTTGATTTTAATATAAAAATAATATTTAAATGTGCACATAGATAAGCATGCCCCGAATTTTATACTGGAGGTCGAATTTGTGTAAATGAGAGAGCGTTTTGTGAGGTGCATTAGGACATGTCTACGAATCCTTATTTAATAAAAACGAACGTGAAATATTTGCAAAGACGCTTATTACACCAAAGACTGAACCCTACCTGTTTGGTTTACTCTAACTTTTGCGTTATTTTTGCCATCGCTGTGACCGAATTTACATTCATTATTTTTTTAGCAATAAAGATTCTGATGACGTGAGCGTTTACTGTAACTATCGAATAGAGAACCTTACAAAGAAACGAAACAGCTTGCATTTTTGCACCGAAAATAGCTTTCTATGCAATTATATGTAATATTTTAGTTTTTGTTTTTATTTTGTAAATGTAGGCGTAAAAAACTCCAAATTGTGCTCTTTATAGCTGGGAACCCTCTTTAATGGACCAGATTACCTTCTTACATTATTAATGTGCCAGGCGAGTTGCCACAATAGTGCAGAACATCTGCCGCGATGAACGCAGGCATGACGCATAATTCGCAGCACTGGCATCGCTTCATAAAGTTAGGAGATCAGCAGAAAAAGAAAAAGAAAGGAGGGGCGAATTTTCAGCAAAGAACAACTGCGTTCTGCCGCTCACCATCTGCAATCAGCGGGAAAAATGACTGAATATATGTTAATCGTAGAAGGGGGTCCGGCAAACCTGCCGGGTGGCATCGGCATACGCAAAGTGTTTCGGGCCCTCCGTTAAACGCGTTCTAACACGTGAACACCGAAGTCTAGTAACGCTACCATTTTACCTCATAAAACATTAGTTTGCATTCGAAGCACGAGCACGGTATAAATATGTTAGAGTGTGCACACTTTTAAAACATGAAGACACGCATAAGGTTCCACAGGCTAGGGGTTTGAAGTTTCGATTGCATGTTTTTTGGAAGGCGACGCTGACTACAATAGTTGCTCAGAGTTCAAGACGCACAGGGCTCGGCTAATTATGGTGACAGATCTTTGTAACTCGTTCTTCTGCGTTTTTATTAGCCCTGCCGCAATATCATTGACTGCGGAACGGTAATATGATGTTCGCGACGTGCCGCTCCTTGCGTTTCTTACTGTCAGGGTCTGTACTGTACTTGTTTTCTCCCTAAAAAAAAGCTACCGCTTTTAAATGGAAGAGTTGCGAATTGTATACATGCAGCGCGAATTAGTTCTTAGACGATTTCGTTGTCGGAGGAAAGCGCGATGCTTTCGTCGTTTGAGGGGTGTATGTCTTGATAACATAACGCATATCTAATCCACAATTCACTTACATGTGCCTTAATTTCAGAGATAAAGCAGGAAATTAATAATGCTCCGCGAGGATCCGGACGCTTTTACTGCGGTTCATAAGGTAAAAAACAAGTATAGCTTCTTTTTTCTGGCACATATTAAGTTTAATTGTTAAGGTTTACTGTGTGGGAAGATGTGTTACGTTCGATATTTTATGTCAATGTTGCGTGGGTCTGTGCGAAAGGCTACAGCCATGTCGTTATATCGCGCATAGAGGCATTCGTAGTCAAAATTACCTATAACTGTTGTGAGCCCTCAAACTTGTTGTTTGCTTTGCAGGTGGGTAAAGAAGATAAAGGCATCGGACCCTTTCAGACTTAGAAGTTACCACGTATAGCAAATCCAGAAAAAGCATTCTTGTCTTTTCGTGTGCTACCTAAAATGGCTGCACATGGATATCAAAAAGCACAACGACTTTACACAGTTAGACACATTCACACGTGTGTAATATTCTGGTACTTTGTCAGGTAACCTCGTTTTACATATTTAATGGCTCATTTTCGAGAACTTCAGATCCGGCAGGAGAATACTGATAGTTAAACATTCGTCTGCACATGATTTCGTGCATTCAACAAATACAGTCAATGCAAAGTGATAGCGCGAAGTGGATCTAATGAAATTCGTGACATTCACATATATATTTCCTCCTCCTGGCACACTGACCTTTTGGCGCCTTAGAAAAACAAACGTACAGTTGATTTGGTAAAGAGTACCATACCTAATGCCTTTGTAGCTCTTGTAGCCTGAAGATCCGTCAGAACAAAATATTGCGACACCACGTCGATGTACAGAACGCCAGCTTGAGAGTTGATGATGGATGATATGGTACTGTGAAGACGAGTTACAGTCAGGGGGCAATAAGGGAACTAACTGCGCTAAAATTACTTCTGGGTAATAAAACGCATCCAGAACTTTGCCATATTAGAAGAAATAGTATCTTACATACGTAAAATATTTCTATTTGTTTCATGTGAACAATTTAGGTTATATATGGCGTAACTGGTAATATTTATTCACAACAGAAATTAAGATATGGGTCGAATACATTTGAGTTTTATTTGTCATTTTATTTAGCACGCTTAAGATTAGCGGACACATCGGTGATTTCGCTCAAGTGTTCGAACGTTTAGTTCTAAGCAGAAGAGAAAACGCTGGAAGCGGTGGCTGGCTGACCGATGATCGTTCGTGAGCTTTTTGTCTTTTGTCTTTTTGGTTTTTTTTATTATGATATGCCGGATGGGTTAGGTCATGCTCTTTGTTTTGCAACATTCTCTTTAATTTTCATCTTGCGGTTATTCTTCCACCCGGGATACCGAACCTTTTTTACAGAACAATTCTAACACCTATTTGGGGTAAAACAAGTATAAAAAAGAGCTATGATAATGGCTTGTAATTAGTACTTGCTAGTAGTAAAATATTATAAATTGTTTAAAAATAGTTTTGAAAAAGTATCCGGCAGCAATTTTTCCACTTCCCGTTTTTCTTCAACTAAAAAGGCTAATTTAGATAAGTTTTATATACGAGAGCCACGAATGGCTCAGCACTTTAACATACATGACAGTGGGCAAGAAGCTTCAGAAACAAAATTATTGAGTCAACTTCCCTTTTCGCATCAGGACCATACACATGGCACCATGTTAACACAGGGTAAGCCGCTAATATTCTTAAAATGCTTTTGGTATGTATTTAAATACATGGTTATAGCTTCGCTCGTATTTTAATTTGATGTGTTACTCATAGCGTGAAATCTTTTTTAAATATTAAAATATTGCTAAAATTTCGTGTGCTTTTCTCGATGCTGTGATCCATGATTATGTAGAAAATGAAAACATTTATGCTTGAACCTGTACAAAATGAAAACATTTATGCTTGAACCTGTAGAAAATGAAAACATTGATACTTGAACCTGTTGAAAATATAAGTATCCCGGAGGTTATTTTTATCTACTTTAAAATCACACGATTACGTAGACAGATCTGTCGATGTCTACGTGTTGACGAAATAATTTAAAGAATGCATCCCTTAGAGTGAAGTATACATTGTATGTTTCTTAAATCATATGATGTTGGGAGTACCCATCGCAAAGTTACCTCGCACTTAAGTATGAAGTAATTCAAAATAAAAGGCTTAGGTTTTTTATAAACAACTACATCCCCTGTAGACGTTGCACTGGAATGAAACACATATAGAATTTTAATATTATCGAACAACGAAAAAGGTGAATAGCATTAAAATAGTTCCACTCTATATCGTGGGCACACAGATATCGAAAAGGTATCTGCGTCCTGCCACTGCATCGGTTATCAGGCTAGCTTTTCATGCAGGAGCCGTAAAGAGAAGACCACAAAATAAGCGTGACGGCAGAGCTAACGCCACATCAAAGGCATTCGGAGAAAACGTGTCCTTTTTTCTTGTGCCTGTCTCGCACAATACATGGTGTGAAAAGTGGCCAAGTAAATCCCATTCAGTGAAGAGGACCGCCACCATTGTTGAACTACTACCACCTGAAGGACGTGAATCTCGGAGGACACAGTTAAAAATTGAACGCGTTTTAGCAGCGCGTCAGATTACTTCCAAGCAACATAGATCAAGAAAATCGGACCGAAGCATTTATATTTATACATGTGACTTGCCAAGAAGTAATGGTCGTCTATAACACACTCAATTTGACCGATTCAAAAATAGATGACTATGAACTGACTATGAGAAAGTTTGAGAAGTACTGCCTTCTAAAATGCAACGAGAACTTCAAAAGTCAACTGTAGAAAGTGGAGACACATAAGGGACGATACCGACAGAAGTATCTTTTGATGAAAGATTGTCCTGTCGGTATCGTCCCTTATGTTTCCCGACCTTCTAAATTTTTAAAAAAGCACTAATACGCTCAAATAGTACAAGTTGAACTGTAAAATGGCATTCGCCTGGGTTAGTTGGCGATTCGTAGTTAAGAGGGTAAAGGTGCTAAAGAAAAACAACTGGTAAGTGAAAAAAACGACCAACACAGAGCGCACTGTGTTCGTTTCTTCCACTTGTCTGTTGTTTTTTTAGCGCTTTTACCCTTGGAACTTAAAAAATTATATTTGGAGTTTTAAGTGCCAAACAAACGAAGGGCATCTGGCACGCCCCATCGGACGACTCAGGGTCTCAGTTTCCATGGCGCCTTCTCCGCAATAAACCTCCGTCCTACTGCGGGCATCTCGGCCGGGATCCGAACCCGCCACCTGGGGATCCGTAGGCAGGCGCTTTGCGTCGGAGCCACCGAGGCGGAACAAAACAGACTGAACTTAAGAATGTTTAACATTCCTTTAGATCTTCAACCGAAGGCGAAGTCTTGTAACTTCGGACTTTTAGCTGAGGCATTGCTTCGACATAATATGGGCTAAGGTATACCGAGCAAGAAGCTCAGAAAGATTCTGCAGAGAGAAAAAGATATAACTTTGGCAATGGCCATTGACATTTGAAAAGTTTGGTCCTTTAGGGTGACTGCCGTCCCCTGATTCAGCCAGCACTTCGCTTTTCGCATGCTCTACGCGATCTTCTAAATTATCAGTTGGACCAGTGGCATCATCGCCAAGCTCTAAAAGCCAATAGACTAGATAAGTCCATTGGTGATAGAAGCAAAGTGAAATTGGAAACCCCCCCAAAATATGTAAAGACTTGAGCGTGTTGCTTATCTACATTGACTTAAAACGAAAGTAACACGCGCAAGTAGTGTCGTCTGTTTCGTCCTCTTGCATGTTTCTTTCGTTTTAAGTAAAAAAAAAAGTGTGTGTGTATGGACCAAAAGTTTGCCAATCAGAGCTCGATACGGGAATACTTTAAATTTCCCTCCAGACAATATTTACGCTGAGCTAGCGGGTACGAAGGATTGTACTAGGCTCCACCCTTATAACGGATTACACCAGATACCCTTCACGACAGTAGGTCGTGAATGTTCACTTTTTCAGCTTTTTTTTTTGGTCGCTGCCGGTACCTGAGAATAACATTCTGAATTTACGTTGCACCTGAAGTGTTTCAGTGAGAAATGCCTCAGATATTTGAGGGGTTACCTGAAGTATGAGTTTGCACAATTGAGATACTGATTTTGGGCTCTAGTCTTGAAAAAAGTGAAATAAGATTGAAAAAAGCGTCGCAAACAGCTCATAAAGCTGTCCTCACGCTAAGCATTTAAACTCCTCAGCTTGACTTAGAACAAATATGCTCTTTGGGCGACAACATTAGTGCTAAAGAAATCAATTCAGACTCCGAGATGCCAAAGTGCATTCTAAGCATGCAACTACCAACAAGCAGAAGAGAAATACGGCGTCTTTTTGGAGCGGTCAACTACTTCGGGACATTTATTCCGAACTTGACAAAGACAAACTCATTGTTGCGCAGTTTAAATAAACAATATTAACATTTTGGTTGACAGCGCAGCCACGACTGAAAAATATTTCAAACGTTGTTAGCAGAGAACCTGATATTGGCCATTTTGGACGCTGTGTAAACACAAAGGTTTCTACAGATGCACTGAAAAAAGCCTTCGCTGCATCCTTGATTCAATGTACCTTTTTTTACAAACGAACGCCGTCTGCAAAGTTGACTTCGAATTACAAATGAAGGCCAGCCAAACTTGCCTCCGCCCGTCAGAATACATTTTCATCTTGTCGTTGTATTAATCTTCGTTATCTTTATGACCCATACTAGCCTATACTCAAACAAGAATGACCAAAACAGACGAAATACGCCCAAAGGTAGTTGCTGATTACGTTGGTCGACCGGAACTTTTTCGTGCTAAAATGGCGACAACGGGAAACAAAGCGAGGAGAGAGGAGTGCGGATGCGCAGAAACTTACTGGGCCCGTTTGCTCGAAAGTGGTTAACTTACCGCGGTTAACCGTATTTCCCTACGAGAGGGAAGTTTAGGTCACGTGACCTGCAGAGTAGGGACGCAGGAGTAAAATATTACCTAGCACCAGACAATATGGCTGCCACGGCTGCTCGTCACGCTTGGGAACATTCATTTTTACGATGATGCGTCATCCTCGTGCCACGAAACGGACATTTCAACACAGAGGCTACAGTCGGAGTCAACGGCAGCTCGCCCACCACCCGACAGCGAGCGTGCTGTGGGACCAGGGATACGCTTGACTGGTCACGTCAAGTTCGAGAAAGATCACGCATCGCCCTCTGAAGTGGACTTGTTCCAATGATTGTTACAGTCAGCGGGACCTTCAAAATATATTACCTAGGTGAATGCCACGATGTTTCACGAGAAAGTTTTGAGATCGTACCGCTATCAAAATGTCATGTCAGGAGTTCTTGCGTTGTAATCAACGTCCAGCTTTATTTTTTTTTTCACTATTAAAACCTACCTTGAACCGCAATCGCATGGTAGTGAAAAAAAAAAAAAACTCTCCGAAAAACTGCCTCTAATCGCAGAGTCTTGTTTATAGTACAGTTCGCTATGTATTGTATTTGCAGCGCATCTACAGCACCGACGACCCCCTTGCAGCGGGAAACGTTTCAACGAAAGCAAGATGTAAACAAAAACCTGAATCGAAAGCATATACCCGTTCCCTCAATAAAAGCTGCCAGTACGGCATTCGATCGAACTCCGGTACTGTCATCTGCGAACTTGTACAACTGGGAAATAAACAAAGCTTCTAACATGAAAGAAGTGTGCATATTTTCTCTTGCGCTTGTCTTTCTTCAATTTATTTAGTTTTCAAATAACTAGATGCCTTGTTAGGATTATAAAGTGAGACACAATTACGAAACAGACGATCACAACCCATCTGGAATCGAAAATGAGTCAGGCAACATCAGCCATCAGAATGAAACAGCAA